GATGTGTATTGCTCGTGAGGACAGCTCTTGCCTTGGAATTTGGTTGAGGCTGATGATTTTGATCAAATTGCGAGGAATCTTGAGGATTGGATAACGATGACAACGAGACAGGTGAGTGCACGCGCGTTTCTCGTTTTCATGGGTGATATCAAGCAACATTTTAGTTTCTATAAAGTATTTATAGGGCCCGTACAGCGTGCAACTACCGAGGTCAATGCACACGTACATGTAATATTTGGTGGGCATAATTGCAGATTAATGTTGAATTGGGAAAATACTTTTTGATGAAGAGTTTCCAGTTGTCTTTGCACGAATGCATAATCACAAATCGTATGACTGAGTTCAGAAAAGGTTTTTGTATGTACATATAAAAATAAATCGAATACCTTCAGGCATGTCAGGCTCTATCATCAATGTGATGCAATATAGTCAGCGACATTGAAAAAAATGGTGTTGCTGGAATAAATGTGCATGTAGGCCTGCGTCATTTTGGTCCGTGCTTGTTTATATAAAAATAAAATCGCCGTATGGAAGATTAAAAAGTAACTCAAAATGACTGCTATTCAGTAGTTTATCGTAACTGACATGACTAGATGACAGGGGCACTCATTGGGGTCCAGATTTTCACTGCAGTCGTCCTATTTACAATACAGGAAATCGAAATTTGCTGTCAAAATCGGTACACTAGCTATGCCTATACATGTATTTGCTTTTGTTTCTGTGATCCGTGTCCTTACACGTATAGTCTCAAAAGAGTACACGAAACCAACGCAAGGCACACGTAGTGTACCTACGAAACTACTTAGCTTCAGCCTATTGATTTATTTAATCCCCGTGACTAAAGACTCCATCTAGATTGGGGCCTGCGGTTATTTTTAACACAATGTCTTAATCTTATTTGTCATTCTACGCTGACGTTGGAAACGTTTGCAAAAGCCATAATGTACCCGTACATGTATACTGTCTACACGACAGCATAACATGCATACCTAACCAACTGCATTTGGTTTTGAG